TGGGACTGCCCTTGAAGTACAATTTGAAAATGAAATTTTTGCCTCTCTACTGCAGGCAAAATTCACTCCCAGGCAGAACAAGACGTAAGCTTCACATAAGTCTCATTAACCTGACCTAAGAACCTACCAGAATCTTTCTGCTGGCTTTAAAGTACTTTGCACTAAGACTTCTGGGTTTACGTGTGACATGACCTCACAACAAGCCTCATTTTAGCTCTTTTCCTTTAATTCTCAGACGGGAATCCTGGACACGGCAGAAATTCAACTGAATTTTTGCCGTGAGCTCATGAGTCACAGCCTGAGAGGTCGCTTCTGTTACTGTCTAAGCACTCAGACAAGCAGCATAAAACTCAGGATTGCTGACAAACAAGTGCAATTGGCAAGAAACATCAAATGCTACCTGCTGGCCTGAACAGGAAGTCAGATGTTTATTACCCTGAAACACATGTCATAGCCATAATTCAGTCCATTGCCACTACCATTTTACAAACAAGAAACATCCAATTCTGCAGAACTGGCTGGCTCAGGCTCAAAATGAGCTATACACGCGTCTTCAGCAAACCCAGAAAGGGAAATGGCAGGTTGTCTGCTCGTGGCATGATCCTTTTGGCATACACACGGAGTGAAATGCGCTGTATTTTGTAAGCCTACATTCACTCAGAAGTTTGTTGACTTTTACATTGCTTTGCTTCCTGTGTACATTTTTAGGTCCTGAGATGCGAAGGTGAATTATTCTGCAAGACCCTGCGCTATGAGTTTTTCATTCGTTTCAGATCCCAGATCCTGTGCTGATCCATCAATGTAGCTTCATGACAGGCTGTATTGCTCTGGTTCAGTCTTTCAAATTTAAAGAAAACAGGAAGGGCCAGTGAAACTATTACTGTTAGAAACCAACCATTTCCCATCTTCCTTACACAAACAGCATGTCTACCACTCCTCAGCATCCCTACCACCTTGGAACATTTTCGTCTGGCAACACTGCCAGCTTGATTTGGCAAGAGCCTCTTGTACAGCAATCTACTTTCCACCCTAGGGCTTGAACTGAGGGGATGGGAATGGACAGTTGCAAAGTGCCTTCCCTAAAATAGGCCAGAGTTAACCTGAGAAGCCTCTCCAACTCTAAAAGGGCCAGAGAGGAAAATAATACTCCCTGCTTAGAGATACAAGTAGGAGAATCTCAGACATTGAAGACAAAAAGCTGTAAATGTATGCCAGACCAGACAATATTCAAGTGTTCTTTGGGAGTCAGCAAGCTTGGGCAGATAAGCAGCTTGCACTTCATAATTAGTTATTTTATATGCTGCAAATTCAACTTCCAGGATTTAAAACCACAAGCACCACTACACTTTTGTTACAGAATCCATCTCTGCGCTAACTGGGTTTACAATGTACGTTGGGCAAAACTATGAACTGCAGGAAGAATATGCAGCAAGAGATTCTATTTCGCCGTCCCACCTCCTCACTGTGACTCATTAAATTTTTTTTTCCTCTGCTTGTCTGGGCCAGTTCACTTGCAGCCTTTCTCCCCAGTACCCTGTTTTCTAAAAACACTGAGCCATTCGCTTCATGTTAGGGCATTTTAGGTGTGCTGCCAGGTGCTAAACCTAAATGAGTCTTTAATGCTTTGCTAGATGGGGCCTGTGAGACAAACTTGGTATTTATTCTCTGGCTTGAGCATGCAGTATGTCTGCAACATCCCTCCCTTCTTCCTCTCCTCCCACATGCCTCCTCTCTTCCCCCACCCGCCACTGACAGTCTGGTACAGTCAGCAGTGACAGCTAGGCAAGGATTAAAGAATCTGCTGCAAAAGAGCACTCCAGTTTCTAACTTTCCTCTTTCCTCTATCAGACAGAGCACAGCACAATCGAACCCTGTTCAGACACGTCAAAAATCAGGCTAACCAAACAAGCCACGGAAACACGCAGCGCTGGAATGCGCAGCCTCCCTCCCTCGCACAGCAATAAACAACTCGGGGAGAGCCTGCGCCGTCCGACCCGCTCACAGCCAGCCTGTGGCGCGCGTTGCAGGGTAAGGCTCTCCCAGGCGAGCCACAAACCAGCAGCTCAGGCTGGGCCCCCCCTCGGGCACAGACCAACCCAGCCAGCTACACCAGCAGCCCTGTCCATCCCATGGAACTCCTTCATGGGTAAGGTGCAGCTTCACAAACCAGGCTGTGCGTGACAGCCAGAAGACACTCGGAGCTAAGGAAAGGGGAAAAAAAGAAGCTAGCAAAAGGGACAGAGTACCAGGGTGCAGAAGAGCACGGGCCTGTGCGCTTTCATGTAGCTCTATTACACCTAGAGCCGGCCCTATTTATCTTCCTGACAGAGAGAATGCACTGCTGACTAATTATCAGCATCATACTACAGAAAAAAGCTTGGGAACTTGAAAGCTTATGTAGCTTTTCTCCAGCTCTACCGGTTTATCTAACACAAGGTATTTTGCCCAAGTACCACATGTAGTTTGCCAAGGCTAAACAGACACAGTACTGAAATACAGAGGAGAGAGAGGAAAAGATTGATGGCAGAAGGTGCAGCAAAGCCGAGGTGTGGGAGGAAAGAAACAGAAAGGGAAGACATATTGCAGGGACCACGGCTACCACAAGGGCTCTCCCTTTTATTCTATAGTATTTTTTTCAGATACTAACAACCAGATTCTGATCGTTTTGCAGCTTAACTAAAGACAACTCCTTCTGGCACTGAGCCGGTGCCCGGTCTGAAAGAGGGTGTGCGACCAGAAGTGAGACTGACAATGAGAAATCAATGTTTTTGCTGTGGTTCTCATACCTCCATGACTTCAAAGACTGTAACACTTCCTTCCCTAGGACTGCTCCTCGTTTACACTGCTGCATGCAGCAGAGCAGAAAGAAGCTTTAAAGTAAAACTCATTTGTAAGGTGACTTTAAAATCTCTCCACATGCAGCAGACTACGACTCAGTAGGAGAGTTCAAGAAGCTGGATAAGCTCCAGCGCTGGACGTGGCCTTAGTCAGTCCTGCTGTCTGTAAAAATGGTAGATATGTCTGAATCTAAGGAGCTTTTACAGTGAGGGTTAGCTGAGAAGGATCCCTGTAGTACCACTGGTTTTCTGGCCACACTTTTACTGATGTGAATTGTGCAACTTCAGCTAGGAACTACTTGCTGAGTTAACACATGCATCACACTTTTATACAACACTCCTCTCCCCAGACTCCCAAACATCACCCAACCAATCACTGTTTTTTCTCTCATAGGACAGTAGGCCAGGATGCAAACAGCTTCCTCTGCATCCAGAAGCTGAGGAACTACAGCACGCAAGCAAAATCTTGCCCAAAATCTGACAGAAATCACTGGCTTAATCCAAAACTGACTGCAGGTTCTCCAAGCGCCGGTCTAGTTGTGCTGTCTGGGTGGGGTTTCACCACGCTCCCTTGAATTAACTTTTACTCACACATTAACAGCTAGTTTTTCTCCTAGAATGGGATCCCAAGCGTTCTGGATCCCACTTTTTGGCTTCCTCACACACAACAGGTTTAGTGAAACATGAAATAGTGAAATGGTCCTACCGGTAGGTGTACGGCCCTATTTCCTCTACAAGAGGAGTATCGCCTTGAAGCACTTCTAAAGGATTTGTCACATTAAAAAAGTAGAACTGCATGTAGACTGGTGGAGGAGGATCTTCCCAGGCTTCAAAGGTTTCCGTGCCGTTTTTCAATACTGTTCCCTGAAACAAGAGAAAGACAGATTAGCTGATATTTATAGGAAAGAGAGGAATTCTGTGCCCCCGGAACAAGCACAGGCAAGAGGATTCAAGACCCAATTCTACAAATGTTTACAAATGTGGTTTACCTTGAAGCATCTCACTAAATATCAACAAGATCAGACACATGCTACAACGGCTCACAGGCTAGAGGCATGTGTTTGTTGGGGCTGTTGTTCCAATTCTTCCCACAGACACCTCTGCCTGACATTTTTCAGAATGAAGACTTACCAGCTGTGACACAACGATCCTGTTGCATTTCCTGTGTCAGCACAAGCCTAACCTGGTGTAAGATACCACGAAACATGCCAACGTTGGAGAAAAAAGCAGAACTCAACAGTGGGAGGCCAAGAGGTCCTAAGAGAGACCTCTTCGGAGCAACAAGGCCAGAAAAGCAGCTTAGATTCCTTGTATTTATGAAGTCTTAGCCTAAGAACGTCAGATTCCAGAACAGCTGTGAGATTCTGGCTCCAAAGCAATTAGACTTTCTTCTTCAGTGGCCTGTGAGGAAAACCTGCAAGTGACAGAAATTTCTTTCCTGTAGGCATACTGGGATTCGTGCCTTTCTGAGGTCTCCGAATAGGGCAAAGATTCTTCAACCTCTGTCTTTAATTACTTCCCTACAGCAATGAGAGTGCATGCATCTTCAGACCCGCTGCCTGTCAGTCTATTTTGTAACCAGTAAAAGGTGGACCTACAAAACAGCTATAAATAATGATTTTATGACAGGAGCACTTGAGTAATGAATCAGTAATTCCTTCCCCTACCAGCATATACATGTTTTAAGGAAAGTCACAACCGTACCTGTACATAGCTGCATTAGAAACACGTAAGGGGTTGCAACCCCTCATTTATTAGGGGTTTTATCCATTTTAGACAAAATTCACCCCAACTATAAAAGCCACCCCCGCCCCCCCCCCCCCCCCAGAATCAAGGCTTTTCATGTAGTTATAACACTGGTATTGCTACTGTGGTAGTAAAGAGAAATTTGGCTTCCAGAGTGGAATTTTCAGGAATAAGCACAAAGAAAACTATCTTTGAAAACCATGTCACCTGTAGGCAGAAGAAGGGGGGATAATTTGCAATTAAATGGGTCTCATCAACACTTGCTCCTTCTATTCTTCTGAGAAAACAAGTCAAATATTGTAAGTGCAAGCTCAAATGCCGGGAAGACTGGACAGCTGCCATTTCTTGGTTACTGTTCATGGGGTCTTTATCAGCCACAGTTGCCTCAGCACTCATTCTTGGCCTTCCCACTTAAGGAGCTGTTTTCTCTCAATGTAGATTTTAATTTTCAGTGGTTAGATAAAGAGAAGACTGTTTCAAAGAAAAACTTATTGGCAGGAGCTTGGACTGGCAGTAGTATTGCTGAATAGCAATGAAAGCCAACCCAGCTGGTAGCACTTCGCAGTTGCAGACTGCTTTCTGCTAAGGAAGTCAAACCACGTATTCTGTGCTTACCACAAAAAATAAATATATTTTAGACGTGCTTCAGGAGCTTTGTGCATTTCTTTGGAACTACCAGCACTTCAAGCACCTCACCTACACCATTTCCTACACAGCCCGATGCTTTTGATCCTATTTTCTTGCAATCTGTGCCAAAGAGGCTCATCCCTGCATTCAGACAGAGCCCTCCTGAAGTTGGTTTGTAAGATCAGGAACAGAAAACCTCCCCAAATCAGGCAGACTGTTTCCATGATGCCACCATAAAGGGCTGGAAGCGGGACAGCCATGTATTTAAGACATCTACGGATGACCATGATAGCTTTTCTCCATATGCAAATAACCACATTACTAAGTCAATTATTTCAGGGGTGGTGGTGTAGTAAACTGCTGATGTCGGCTCCCTTCCTAAGTTGTATAAAGCTCACATCTCCCACGTGCATGAAATACGATGAGTATAAGCTTGACATTGACAAACAGAGTAACTATTGCCTGTCTTGACCTTAACCACTGTATCATAGAATCATAGAATCATAGAATGTTTTGGGTTGGAAGGGACCACTAGAGGTCATCGAGTCCAACCCCCCTGCAGTCAGCAGGGACACCGCCAACTAGATCAGGTTGCTCAGAGCCCCATCCAACCTGGCCTTGAATGTTTCCAGGGATGGGGCCTCCACTACCTCTCTGGGCAACCTGTTCCAGTGGTTTACCACCCTCATTGTAAAGAATTTTTTCCTTATATCTAGCCTAAACCTACCCCGATTTAGTTTAAAACCATTACCCCTTGTCCTAACGCAGCTGGCCCTACTAAAAAGGTTTTCCCCCTCTTTCCTATAGGCCCCCTTTAGGTACTGAAAGGCCGCAATCAGGTCTCCCCGCAGCCTTCTTTTCTCTAGACTGAACAAGCCCAACTCTCTCAGCCTGTCCTCATAGGAGAGGTGCTCCAGCCCTCGGATCATTTTAGTAGCCCTCTTCTGGACCCGCTCCAACACTTCCATGTCCTTCTTGTGCTGAGGGCTCCAGAGCTGGACGCAGTACTCTAGGTGAGGTCTCACCAGAGCTGAGTAGAGGGGCAGAATTACCTCCCTCGACCTGCTGGCCACGCTCCTCCTGATGCAGCCCAGAGTACGGTTGGCCTTCTGGGCTGCCAGGGCACATTGCCGGCTCATGTCCAGCTTTTTATCCACCAGCACCCCCAAGTCCCTCTCGGCAGGGCTGCTCTCAATCCTTTCTCCCCCCAGGCTGTATTGATACTGGGGGTTACCCCATCCCAGGTGCAGGACCTTGCACTTGGCCTTGTTGAACCTCATGAGGTTCACACAGGCCCACCTCTCCAGCCTGTCCAGGTCCCTCTGGATGACATCCCGGCCTTCTGGTGTGTCAACCGCACCACTCAGCTTGGTGTCATCTGCAAACTTGCTGAGGGTGCACTCTATCTCACTGTCCAAGTCATTGATGAAGATGTTGAACAGCACCGGTCCTAGTACGGACCCCTGAGGGACACCACTTGTCACCGGTCTCCATCCGGACATTGTGCCGTTGACCACTACCCTCTGGACACGACCATCCAGCCAGTTCCTTATCCACCGAACAGTCCACCCATCAAATCCATAGCTTTCCAATTTAGAGAGAAGGATGTTGTGGGGGACCGTGTCAAAGGCCTTGCAGAAGTCCAGATAGATGACGTCTGTTGGTTGTCCCTTGTCCACTGTATCTAGGAATTTGAACTGTTCCCTAACAACTACTAACCATATTCAGGGCACCTATCTATTGCTCAAATGTCTCTCACAGGCGGCAACTAAAATGAGAGATTATTACCCTGTCTAAATGTGCAATGTTTAAAAAAAAAAACAAGTGCACCCTGGTCATATTCATTCCAGTTTTAGGCTCCAGTCTACCCTTTATGACACAGGGATCACATTTACGATGTTCGGTGAGGCCACGTTCCCCTGTCCCCCTCTCCTGAGCTAGTCTGAAAACAAGCAACTCCCCAATTCGATGTAGCATCGCTAAATGTAACATGGGTTTCTAGCGCACTCCCTCTCTATAGACATATTCACAAAGAGCATTAATAAGAAGGAAGTGAAACAGCTTTTCTCTGGCAGGTTGGTTTAAACACAGGCTCTTGAGATTCTGAAATCATAAGTGATCCCCTGGGAGATGGGCTACAGAGCAAAAGGGTAGTGAAACTATGCCATCTGGTGATTTTTTTTCCTGGACCTGCATGACACCGTTTGGATCTCCCACAGAAATGATGTGTCTATTTATAGCTCTGTACAGTGACAGCCCCAGTTGTAAACCCAGACTCACAAACTTCTGAGCTGGATTCAGATAGACACCCATGAAACTCTCAAATAATAAAATACGGTAAGCTCTCCTATTTTTTCACCAAATGTTACCAGGGATCTTTGGGTCTATTACATGATATTACACAGCCTGGACCCGAAGGAAAAATACGAGCACATATGTTTAGGGAAAACGTACGTCCACGTCCCTCAGCTGGTGGCATTCAAGTTCAGCTCTGATGACTTTGCTCCACACCAGAACATAACCTGATGTTAGGGATTGCTTGATTTTTTGTCAGAGTTTGTGTTCATTAGTAGGTGGGGCAGGCTGTGAGATGTCAGATCACAGGACTGCTCTTTAATCTGAAATACATGAAAGATACAGCTCCACTGTAGTTGTTGCTGCTGTACTGCGTAAGGCCAGAGAATCAGACCTTTCCCCCTCACACATTTATATGCAAGAACAAGAGACACAATTTAAAGTCTTCAGAAACCTCAAGTCAGACCCTAGTCCTGCAGGCAGAAGCCTAGAGCGGCCTCAGAGTCACAGATCCTGTCTGAGAGAGATGTAAGGGTGTACCTACTGCAAGATCACAACCTAAAACCAGTGGACAATATGATCACCTGCCTTCACTCAGTAGCCCAGCAGGGGTTCTCCTTTCCACGTGGAGTCCACACATTTCAAACATGCCAAAGCATCCTTCCCACTGACCTTATTATCATGCAGGTCCTGAATTTGCATCTATTTCATTCTTTGGTGTTTCCTTGTCTTGACCATGCTTCACACAAAGAAAATAAAAAGAGAGCTTCCCCTCCCAAATGTAACTGTTACTGGCAGTGATGGTGGGGGTGGGAAAGGGTATTGAACATTTTTGGAACCTACACAGAAAATGAAATTTCCTTTTTTTCCCTGGAACTGCAAAATGTTCTAATTCCAAGACGTAGCTCTATACGTTCATCTATGACAGAATTTAATTGCAACTTTTAAGACAAGAGATAGCATAAGCTTTCAGACCAACAGGAGCAGAATTCTCTGACCCTGCACCTTGGGAATGGTCTGCTCAAAAGGAGCATCTCAACTGATCCTTCATCTAAAGGATCCTTCATCAGCACTAAACTGGGCTGAGAGCTTCAGTATTTCACATTAAACAAGAACAACAAATAGAGATCAATACATAAACTAAATCAAGGGAAAAAATATCTTCCCTATCCTTTTCAGTCCTAGACACTCCAGAAAATCCAGCTCCAGAGATAGCTGACAACCTAAGTCCAGTGAAATTTCAAGGGGTTAGAAGACCAAGCGTTTTCTAAAAATCACTCTAAGGTATGGGGCATAAGGAAACCACTTGAGGTAAAGGACCGATTGCTCAAGTTTGGAATTAAGTGCATAGATCAAAGGCTGTTACATTCATAAACTGCACGCTTATGGCAATAAAATACATAATCATATAACCAACATACAGCATAAGGCGAACAATGCTAGGAGCTAGGAAGGCCTCTCTCCCATGGGCAGCTAGTTTAGTCTTGTTTGTTAAACTTGTTTTGCCCTTATTCGATGGGGTTTCAGGTGCTAGCCCCTGATAGATATGAACAGATATCGGGCAAGTTAGACATCTGATCTGGCACGGCACTCTAATTCACAAAAAGCCAGTAAGACTGGCAAATAAGACAGAGAGCAAGTTGACAAGATTTGAATGCCTTCCAGGAAAGGTGCTCCCACTGTCCTCGTCACTACACATCTGCCTCCTGATTTTCAAGGGGATGTGAAGTCCAACGCCAGGCAGGATTCCCCACTCTTCCCACACTCTCTTTGCATCCAAGATCCCTGCCTTTGGCTTGAAAGGATGCAGCACACAAGCCCCCTAGTGACAGCCGACCCTTCCTCGGTGCTTCACAGGTCCTGGGTTTGGACACAGAGGTGCTGCAGCTGCTCCAAAATGCTGTCTTCCATTTCAGCTGTAGTTGAGACTGCAAAGACAGCCCTTCACTGCAAGTCAGCTCTGTTCCAGGACTGCTGGAAAGCCCTCAAAGGAACATGAACTACCTGTCATAAGGGCAACCTCTTGCCCCTTCTGCACCTCCTCCAATGACAGAGAGGTTGAGGAGGCGAAAAAGGGACAGAGCACAGAGATAACATTTCATGTCCAATGCCCTGGACTGCAGAGCGCTGGAATGGCTTAAGTCTTGCCCCATTTCAAAGGCAAATTGAGATTTGTCTATTTGCACAGGATTTTCTAAGCTGCATACACGGTTACACAAGAGACAGCAACTTTCTAGACTACACACAAATGAGAAAAAGCTCATTTGGAAAGCACATGTGGAAAGCAGATGAATCAGCAGAGTGATTGGGAGCATGCTGCTTTGGGGCTGAAAGCTGTAATTCCACAGTTTGTGTGTGTGGCTCTCGGAGAAGGCCCAGGAGGGTGTCAGTGGCCAGCGCAGGGAGCAGGACGCTCGATCCTGTGCAATCCAGACGTACGCTAGCACGAGCTGAAGAGTGGTAAGCAGGAAAAGACTGAGCTCTGGAAACTTTATCCTGCATTACTGAAAGCCCTGCTGAGCAAATACCAACTTACTCTTACATAATCAACCATTAAGGGTAAGGAGCATGTAGCTAGGAGATAATACGCATAAGGAGGATCACGCCTAATTCCCAACAGTCCTACGCTCTCCCGCCAAACCATTTTTTTTAGCCCACTGCTCTTTTGATAGTGAAATAAGACTTGAAACCAGAACTTCAGCTATGATGCAGAGGATGACAGGCTCCTTTCCAAAGAGACCTAAGATTTGGGAAAATGCTTAGGCACATGCCTATGCAAAGCTGTACTGATTTCATTTGGTTTGCATACAACTTTGCATACATTAACACTTGCATCACTTCACACCTGGCTTTCAGACTGCCTAGAAAAGGTACGGGCTGACGATCAAATGACTTCAGGATAAACCATTCATTATCCATGCTACGCTCCAGCACGGCAGAGGCACGTACCTGAGAATGAAAACTGCAGGATTAGCTGTACGAGCAGTTCCTGAAGAGCAGCTGACACGATGGCAGGCTGCAATGACAGCTTACCCTATGGTAGCATTTTTTTTTGGGTATCCCCTGAAGTTTAGAGGCACGCTTCAAGGTGCCACAACTTGCTTTAAGCTGACTGCCAACCTAAAACTGCACTCGCTAAACCAAACTGATTGAAGTTAAGACAATACAGCTTCTACGTTAGGAAATGTTCTCTGCCGATACCCCAAAGAAAAGAGCAGTACATTGGTTAGGACATCACAGGGAATCAGCAGACTTTGGTCACTGGTTAACCACCAGAAGGAACAAATCTCTTCATCTGTTAGCACTCTTGGTTCCTCTGTCAGAATAACAGAGAGGATGATACTCCTCAGACTAGGTAGATAAATAATTGTTCTTTTACATGCTTCACAGGTGTTTTAAGGAAGTTCCTAACACAGCTGACTGTTCTCACTGGACCACTGGATCAATCCCAAAAACCAGTATGAGAATGGAATAAAAGCTTAGGCAGCCCACGAACAGCAAAGAGCTCTGCATTCAAAACAATGCCAGGATGGGCGTCCCCGAAGTGTGCTACAAGCAGCCTTTAACAACAGGGTGAAATGCCTTGCTTCATCACCCAGCCTGGGTAACTACCACGTGTTTCAGCCCATAGCAACTCTGGCTGTGCGCCAGAGGCAGCAATAAATGGAGCAGCAGAACAAGATGCAAGAAATCTATGATAGGGATGGCAAAACAGGGGGGGTGCTACTTTAGATGTCCCCTGCTCCCCCTTGTGTGCTGCTGCTCTGGAAAGGGCTTCTCACTACAGCTGCTGCCCCACAGCCAGTAAAGCTGCCTCAAGAGAGCTGATTTTTACTCATATTTACTCAATTTTTACCTGGCCCGGGCCCCATGCAGCCTGAGCTCCACCCTGAGCCCCAGCCTAGCCAAGTGGTGCAAGGCATGGGGGGTTCACTGCCCTTGCCCTGCCCAACCACAGCTGGTGCAAGGAGGGAGCCAGACAACACCGCCCGCCAGCCCCCTTCCTCCCTCCCTCTCCTCCCAGGGTTATTTTGAGAGGGAATAAACCCGTCAGGAGGGATTGGGGTGGGAACCGCGCCGTGCTCTCACCTGCTTCACCTGCAGGTCCACCGCCGTCTGGAAGACGTGTGCTACCAGCAAGGAGATGCTGGCGATGAGCAGCGTCATGGCCAGGACCCCCACGGTGACGAGGCACAGCGACTTCATGGCTGCTGCCGAGGAGGGACACAG